TAGACAGCTCAACGTAGCCAAGGATCCGGAGCTGTTAAAAACAACAACTCCTCTCAGACCACGCCCAATCCGGAAGCCCCCAACACTGGACATTTTAAAGAAATAGTTGGGCAACCATTGGTCTAAATTGGGTCAGGGCAATGATGGCGAACTTTTTTCGCCTTGGGTGCCCAAAAAGCCTCGCGCATGTGCTATTGCGCTTGCTCGCGTGCCCACCCCCATAATTTAATGCCCCACGCACCATGTCCCCTGCACATGCACCCATGATACACACACCCCACTGCCCCACACATGCGCGCACGGCTTTCTTGGACCCTGGGGAGGGTGAAAAGGGCCTCCCCCACCCCCCAGAGGTCAGAAATGGTCTGTTTTCTGACTTCCGGTGGGCCCAGGAAGTCTGTTTTTCACCCTCCCCAGGCTCCAGAGGCTTTCTAGGGCGAAAGATGGCCTAACACGCAAACTGGAAGTTCAGGAACAGTTCGCCGTCACAGGTTTAGGGTTTCCTGCCCGAGCATGGGTTGGACTAGAAGACCTCCAAGGTCCCTTCCGCTCTGTCATTCTGCCAAAACAAGCTGCGTTTTGCAATTGACGGATAGGAATTTTGTCAATGCCAACGGTGATCAAAGTGGAGTTCCGGATATATTTACTTCTATTTCACAATGAGGCCTGTCAGGGCAAGAAGCAACGGATGGAAACTAATCAAGGAGAGAAGGAGGCTGGAATTAAGGAGGAGCTTCCTAACAGTGGAGAGAATTAACCCGTGGAACAGCTTGCCACCAGAAGAGAGATGTTTTAAGAAAAGACAGCCACCTGTCTGAAATGGTATAGGTTCTCCTGCTTGAGCCAGGGGGTTGGACTAGAAGACCTCCAAGGTCCCTTCCAGCTCTATTCTGGTGGTCTGAATCTTTCTTTTCTTGAACGCCATTCCTATTTTTGTCCTTGTAGTGACGAAGCAAGGACAAAAACGGAACTGTAGAAATGAACAGCTGGCTAAGAAACAGGCATGCCCAAGGAAAGTCTGAATTTCTAGATTACGGCCCACAGCGCCAGGATTAGAAATGGGTGGCATCTCACAGCGAAACTTGGGTGTCAATCATCTTACCTCCAGCTCATCATGATGGGGCTTTTCCACACCATGTTGGGCTGTTCCTTCAGCCCTGAGTCATCCCATAATACCAGTGAGTCAGTCTCCACCCTGGTCTGTACATGGAGTTATTTTCAATCTGAGTCATCTTTTCTTGACTGTGTTCCTTATATTTTCCTGGCCGTCAGCAAAATAGGTTACCTTGATGGGATCTTAGAAATGGCACATTTTCTTTTAAACTTTCCCCTCCCTCCATCCTTGTTTTTCCCCTTCTCTTCTCTTCATCATCTACTGCTTCCCTTTGCTCCCCTTCCCTTCCTCTTTCTCTCTTTCTAATTCTCCTTCCTTCCTTCCTTCCTTCCTTCCTTCCTTCCTTCCTTCCCTCTCTCTCGTCACAAATCCATCCATCCTTCTTCCTTTTTCTCTCTTATCTTCTTTTCCCTCTCTCTTATTTTCCTTCCTTCCTTCCTGTCTCTCACCCTCCCTTCCTTCATCTCTCTCTTTCTTATCTTCCTTCCTTCCTCTCTCTTTCATCTTCCTTCCTTCCTCCCTTCCTTCCTCTATCACTCTTCTTTCCTTCCTCTCTCTCACCCTCCCTGCCTTCCTTTCCTCCTCTCATCTTCCTTCATTTGTTCCTTTGTTCCTTCTTTCTTTCCTTCCTTCCTCTCTCTTTCTTATCTTATTTTCTCTCTGTGTGTGTGCGTCTGTTATCTTCCTTCTCTTCCCTCTCTCATCCCTCCTTCCTTTCTTCCTTCCTTCCTGTCTCTCATCCTCCCTTCTTTCATTTCTCTCTTATCTTCCTTCCTCTTTCTTTCATCTTCCTTCCTCCCTTCCTCTCTCACTCTTCTTTCCTTCCTCTCTCTCACCCTCCCTCCCTTCCTTTCTCTCTCTCATCTTCCTTCATTCCTTTGTTCCTTCTTTCTTTCCTTCCTTCCTTTCTCTTTCTTATCTTATTTTCTCACTCTGTGTGTCTGTTATCTTCCTTCCTTCTCTCATTTTCCTCCCTCCCTTCCTCTATCATTCTTCTTTCCTTCCTCTCTCTCACCCTTCCTCTATCTCACCCTCTCTCCCTCCCTTCCTTTCTCTCTCTCATCTTCCTTCATTCCTTTGTTCCTTCTTTCTTTCTTTCCTTCCTTTCTCTTTCTTATCTTATTTTCTCTCTCTCTGTGTGTGTGTGTCTGTTATCTTCCCTTCCCTCTCTCATCTTCCTTCTTTCCTTCCTTCCTTCCTTCCTTCCTTCCTTCCTTCCTTCCTTCCTTCCTTCCTATCACCCTCCCTCCCTGATGGAGCTAGAACAATTATAATTTGGGTAAACAGTGTCCAAATTTGAACTGCCCAGGATACCAAGTAGTCGCTGACTTACAATCACTTACTTGCTTAGTGACCAAAGTGAGAACGACATTGAAAAAAGTGACTTACAACTACAGGCTGGATTGTTTTCCTCACTGGTCCAAAGCATATATCGGAATGGGAGTTACCGCAAGTCCTTGACCTACAATGGTTCACTTAGTGGCCATTTGAAGTTGCAACAGCACTGAAAATAAAGTGGCTTAGGACTGTTTCCTTACTTAACCGCTGTCACAGCCTCCCTGCATCGTCACGTGATCAAAATTCGGGTGCTTGGCTCCTGACCTCTATTTACAACACTTGCAACACCCCGAAGTCACGTGATCTCCATTCGCGACCTTCTTCTCTGCTGGCTTCCGGCCAGCAAACACAGTGGGAGAAGCTGGATTTGCTTAACAACCATGGCTAAAAACAAAAACAAAAAAGTCATAACACTGGGTGCAACTCACTTAGCAACCGCCTTGTTTAGCAATGAAAATTCAGGCCCTTATTGTGATTGTTGGTCGAGTACCTGTACAGGTAGCCATTTGACCTTTGAACCCACTGATCCCAAAATTTATGTTGCCAAGCGAGACATTTGTTAGGTGAATTTTGCCCCGTTTATTAAGTGAATCACTGCGGTTTGTTAAGCGAGTCACACGGTCATTAAGTGAATCTGGGCTTCCCCATTGACTTTGCTTGTCGGAAGGTCGCAAAAGGGGACACTGCAGCCATCATAAATGTGAGTCAGTTGCCAAACATCTGAATCTTGATCAGATAACTTGCAAGGGTAAGTGTGAAAAATGGTCACAAACCACTTTATGTTTGGTGCTGTTGCAACTTTGAACAGTCACTAAACGAACTGTTGTAAGCCGAGGACTTGCTGTAACTCCCATTCCGAAATATGCTTTGAACCAGTCCAGCATCCGAGGACGTTAGGGCTAGCATGAAGAAGTCGGCTGTGTTTCTCCAGGATAATGAAGAAACATTGTACAGGTGTTGTACTTTGGGAGAAAACAACATGTTTTGTGTAGGGGGAGTTGGTTGTTGTTGTTAGTTGCGAAGTTGTGTCTGACCCATTGCCACCCCATGGATAACGTTCCTCCAGGCCTTCCTGTCTTCTTCCATCCTCTGGAGTCCGTTGAAGCTCACTCCTGCTGCTTCAGTGACTCCATTCAGCCACCTCCTTCTCTGTCGTCCCCTTCTTCTTCTTTTGCCCTCCATCGCTCCCAGCATGAGGCTCTTCTCCAGGGAGTCCTTCTTCCTTCTCATTAGGTAGCCAAAGTATTTGAGTTTCCTCTTCGGGATCTGGCCTTCTAAAGAGCAGTCAGGGTTGACCTCCTCTAGGACTGACCGGTTGGATGGCCTTGCAGTCCAAGGGACTCAATGCAGTCTTCTCCAGCACCAGAGTTCACAGGCCTCCATTCTTTGGCCCACAGCCTTCCTTATGGTCCAACCTTCACAGCCATCCATCCTTAGATAGCAAATAAAATAAAATAAAAATATATATGATGCTTTCAAATTGTGGTGTTGGTGAAGACTCTTGGGAGTCCCTTGGATTCCAAGGATATCACATCAGTCAATCCTGTAGAAAATTAACCCTGATTTTGATTGTTGGAAGGACAGATAATAAAGCTCAAATACTTTGGCCACCAAACGAGAAGAGAAGATTCCTTGGAGAAGACCCTGAGGTTGGGGAAGAAGGTGAAAGGAGAAGGGGATGACAGAGGATGAGATCCAAGGGGCTCAATGCAGGAGTCTTCTTCTCCAGCACCAGAGTTCAAAGGCCTCCATTGGTGCTCAGCCTTCCTTATGGTCCAACTTTCACAGCCATCCATTGCAACTGGGAAAACCAGAGCCTTGACTATAGGCACTTTTGTTGGCAGGGTGATGTATCTCTGCTTTTGGACTTGATTTTTGGAGTTGATATGTCCCAACAACTCCCTAGCTAACTAATCTGTTCTGACCGAGGAAGTTGTTTGAAGGGGCAGCGAAACCTCTCAGTTCCACAAAGAAATAAGCACGTTGAATAGAGAGACTTAAGGAAGATCATTTTGACTTCGAGACACACGAAGATTAGTTACTAAGGCAATGGGAGCCGATATCCACCAGATAATATTTGGAAGTGGCTCAGACAGCCTAAGAACAACAAAAGTCAACAAGGACTGGCAACTTTTGCACAAAGGTTAAAATACGAATTGCAAATGTACAGACAGAATTGATTTGGAAAGTTTTGGAAAGTTGGAACACTTTAACATCCCCCCCCCAAAAAAACCCAATCGCCTTCTTCCAAAGAGATTTTCTAGGAGTAACTACTACATTAGTAGTTGCCCATGGGCTGAGGGTCCACCTGGTTGACGTTTCATTATACAGTGAGTATAATGTTATATAGTGAGTATGAAGTTCTGGGAATTAGGTTTTCTCACTCCTGCCTTCAACATCGAAAGTCCCAGCCTCTGAAATTGGCTCACCGGATGTTTTGAGCTTTAGTTTTTGAGCCTCTCATTTGTTTTTGATTAAATTCACCTAAATCTACCCAAGCCTGTGATCACATTTGACCATATGGTTGTTCCATCTTGTTTCATTTCAGAAGATCTCCCACCACCGCCTCCAGGAGAGAAAATTTGCCCAAGGACATTCTGGAACTAGGTCAGTTCTGCTTTGATAAAATATCTGTTGCTGCTTTTTTTTGCTCTCCCATGGCAAATTTAAGATGGTGGACTTCAATTCCTAGAATGCCCCTCTGAGTATGGGGCATTCCATCTCCGAAAGGAGGGAAGGAAGGAAAAGCAGAGATGGAGGAAGAAGACAGGGAGGAAGGGAGGAGCGAGGGAGAAGAAAGAAAGAGGAAAGAAGGAGGAAAGAGGTACGAGGAAGGTGGAAGGGAGGGGAGGGAAGAAGGAAAGGAAAGCAAGGGTGGAGGAAGAAGACAGAGAGGGAGGGAGGCGCAAGGGAGAAGAAGGAGGGAGGGAGGAAAGAGGTATAAGGAAGGCAGAAGGTGGAAAGGGAAGGAAGAAGGAAGGAAGGAAAAGCAAGGGTGGAGGAAGAAGAAGAGAGGGAGGGAGGAGCAAGGAAGAAGAAGGAGGGAGGGAGGAAAGAGGTATAAGGAAGGCAGAAGGTGGAAAGGGAGGGAAGAAGGAAGGAAGGAAAAGCAAGGGTGGAGGAAGAAGAAGATAGAGAGGGAGGGAAGAGGGAGGGAGAAGAAAGAGGAAAGAAGGATGGAGGGAGGAAAGAGGTACGAGGAAGGTGAAAGGGAGGGGAGGGAAGAAGGAAGGGAAAACAAGTGTGGAGGAAGAAGAAGGGAGGGAGGGAGGAAGAAAAAGGGTTTGAGGAAGAAGACAGAGAGGGAGGGAGGAGCGAGGGAGAAGAAGGAGGGAGGGAGGAAAGAGGTACAAGGAAGGGAGAAGATGGAAGGGAAGGAAAGGTGAAAGGGAGGGAAGAAGAAGGAAAGTAAAACCCGAGTCTTTCGGCAGTGGCTGCTCTGGGCGCGTGCTCTATGGTTGTACGCTCTGCAGGCAGCTGGTCCACAACCATAGAGCTTGTGCCCAGAGGGGCCACTGCCGAAAGACTCGGGTTGGAAGCTGCAGAAAAAGCCAGGCTGGGATGGCGGCAGTGGTGGAGGTGCCCTGACTCCGTAATGAGAGCTGGGCCATGCATCGTGAGGCTGGGAGGCAGGTGAGCGAGAGCAGAACAGCCACTTGTGCAACTCCCTCTCCAGCAGTGCAGAGCGCCATTCACTGGCATTTGGAAGGCGCCAAGCCGCAGGAACCGGGCGGCGGCGAATAGGCGCTCACACGGCTTGGCGATACCCCTAGGTCAGTGAATGGCGCTGTGCCCGGCTGCAAAGGGGGTTTTCTGGGTGGCTGCGTGAGCGTGGTCGCTTCATGGCTGTTGTGTTGCGCTGCTGCCCGGCAGCCCCAAAACAATAAACCCCCCTTCTCCCCCCCATAATAAGGCCGAAGCCATATTTTGTAGGTAAATAAAAAATAAGACCCTGTCATATTTTGGGGAAAACACCGTAGATAAATTCAGATAAAAGGATCTGTAGTAGGTACGTCTTCGACTTGCAACCATTCAGTTAATGACCAGGTGAAATTCTTTCAGAAGCAAACTGCCATATTTACATTATTTCCATGGGCCTTTTGAACCAGACTATATTCTTGTTTTCAGCCTAGTCCAGGGATGGCGAATTTTTTCGGCACTGAGCACCCAAATTGGAAGGTGCGTGAATGTGTGTGCGTGTGCCGGAGTGCCAGAAATCTGGAGACCAGTTATTCCGCGTGTGGAGGCCTGTTTTTTTGGCCATTTTTTTTTTACTGTTCTCAGGGCATTTTCAGCCTCTTTCGGGCCTTTTTTAAGGCCCTTTTTGGGCTGTTTTCAGGCTCTTTTTCAGGTTGTTTTCAGGCCATTTTTTCAGGGCTGTCTTCGGGCCATTTTTCGAGCTGTTTTCAGGCCATTTTTTGAGCTGTTTTCAGGCTGTTTTCAGGCCATTTTTTCAGGGCTGTTTTCAGGCTCTTTTTCAGGCTGTCTTCAGGCCATTTTTCGAGCTGTTTTCAGGCTGTTTTTAGGCTCCTTTTTAGGCTGTTTTCAGGCCATTTTTTCAGGGCTGTTTTCAGGCTGTCTTCAGGACATTTTCTGGGCTATTTTCAGGCTCTTTTTCAAGCTGTTTTCAGGCTCTTTTTTGGCCCTTTTAAAGGCCATTTTGGCTTGTTTTCAGGCCATTTTCTCGGCTGTTCTTCGGGCCGTTTTCAGGCTGTTTTCTGGCCTGTTTTCAGGCACTCCGGTGCCTGCACAGATGCACCGGAAACAGGAGAGCAGCTGGCGACGGCGCGCATGCCCACCGCGAGGGCTCTGTGTGCCACCTCTGGCATGTGTGCCATAGGTTTGCCATCACGGGCCTAGTCTATTGTGCAAATGACATGTAAGGGATAGCTTATGGCTATCCGTGTTGCTGGAACTCTGCTGTTGGTATATTAACTAAGGCGGCTAAGGATGTCATAACCTGTTTCATTTTACCCATTTTACCCAAGTGTGTTTCATCTCAAGGAGATAAAGAAAATCAAGTTTTAGTTTTTTTTTTTAAAAAGGCTATTTTTAACTTTGAATATTAAAATGCAAACCCTTGGCTATTGAAGGACTTTCAATTATGGAGTGGTTTTAATGTACAGAGTACAAGTAGAATTTCATGCTCTTAATAGGCCATAAGATGCTGCTAGATTACTGTTGACCTCTTATTTTCACCTACTAGTTGATATCGAGGATGAAGAAAGCTGGGAGGATGTTGGGGAGGGCCCTGAATCATTGACTCTATATACCTGCCAAGTGACAACCAGGCCCATTGATTTCAATCTTGCAAAGGTGAGCTGTGCATTAAGTTTGGCAGAGGACAGGACAGAATTTGAATGTGGGGAGGGGAATAGGGGATTTCTGGAAGTTAGGCACTTAACACCCATCAACTATCAACGGACACATAGATGTAAATAATATTTACACACCATTCAAAAGAAAGAATAAAAAGCCAAGAAGGAAACAAAAAGACCAAAAACAAACAAACAAACAAACAAACCCTATCTTCTCTAGCATCTAACAACAGATAAGCAGGGATTAATACCAGACAAACAGTCATGCAGAAAGCAATACTCTAATCAATATCAAGGAGAAAGCCTCTCCCTCGCCAACACTACCAGGGCAAGCTATTGTATACAAACAATGAGCAGCCACAAACTCACTAATCGGATGATGTTATCCAGCTGGGTCATGAAACATCTGCAAACATCTGCTAAATTATGTGCCAAATTATAGGAGAAGAGCAAGCAGACCCTGGGGGAGGAGTCAAGCAACTCATCAGTCTAGAATCATTACATTATCACAAAAGGTTTAAGCCTAATCCCCAGGGGTGGGATTCAACCAGTTTGAACTGGTTCGAGCGAACCGTATGCTAATTTTGCATCTGGTTCGCCGAACCAGTTGTTGGAAGGACAAGCTGGCTCCACCGACCCCAGGAATCTCTCCATGTGGCCCGTTAATCCTGCTGGGTAAGTACAAGGCCCAGCAGAGGGTCTGGGATGACACAAAATGGGCCTTCTGGAAGTTCCGGATATCTGGAGCCCAGGGAGGCCGTTTTCGCCCTCCAGGAGTCTCAGGGAAAGCCCCCAGAGCTTGGGGAAGGCTAAAACACCCTCCCCCCACCCCTGTGGTTCAGGAGGCGGAGTAGGCCACGCCTACCATGGCCACGCCCACCCAGCAACCAGGGCGGAGAACCGGTTGCTAACATTTTTTTAACCCCGCCGCCGCTAACCCCTCTTGAATTCTGTTGACTTTTATCCAGTGACGAATTTCTGACCACTGATTGACTCTTGTGGTTCTTGTGAATAGGAACGATCAAATAAGTCATGTTAACTGGAACTGAATGTGGTTCTAATTTTTTCTTCCTGACTAAAATTGGCCTGTAAATACCGATTGACAAATTGCCTTTATAGACAGTCCGCGACTTAAAATTATATTCTTTAGCGAGCATTCAAAGTCACAACGGCGCCAGGGAAAGGTGAGTGTTGACGAGTTTTCGCACTTATAAACCATAGCTGCATTCCAGTGATGGGATTCAGCTGGTTCGCACCTACTCGGGGGAACCGGTTCGTAACGTTCTAAGCAGTTCGGAAAACCGGTTGTTGGAAGAAATCTTAGTTTATTTTTTTCCCACTTTACAGGGCTAATCCTGTAAGGAAAGAAGGCAGGAAGGAAACATTCTGGTGTTGTTTCTAGCCTAATCTTTATTGCCCTCCTTACAGAAACTGCCCCACCGGTTAACCCTTATTACATTGCAACAGCTAAGGCGAAGCGCCCATCGACGTGAGTGACGTTGAGTTGGCCACACCCACCCAGCCACATGACCACCGAGCCCCACCTACCCAGATGGTCATTATGGCATAGAACTAGTTGTTAAATTATTTGAATCTCACCACTGCTGCATTCCCACAATCATGTGATCTAAATTCAGGCGCTTGGCAACTGGCATGTACTTATGACAGTTGCATTGTCCCCAGGGATCACCCTTCGCAACCTTCCCAACTGGATTCTCACAAGCCGGATCTGCTGAGTGCATGATTTACTTAACCACTGCAGTGATTCGCTTAGCAACCATATCAGAAAATAATTGCAAAGTGAGGCACAACTCAGTTAAGGACTGCCTTGCTTATCAACGGATATTTTGGGCTCAATTGTGGCCATAAGTTAAGGACTACTTTCTAAATCGGAGAGCGTGAGCCGTTTTGGATTTCATGGGAGCCCATCCACGGGGGCTATTCAGCAAGTTAAAATTTTGCACCACTGTTGAAGCTAATACAGATAGTTGCAACCTTGAGTTACAACAGTTTGTTTAGTGACGGGTCAAAGTTATAAAGGCCATGAAAAAAAGTGACATCACCATTTTTCACTCTTATGACCGCCGGAGCATCCCCGTGGTCATGCGATCGATATTCAGACGCTTGGCAATTGTTTCATATTTATGACGGTTGCAACATTCCTGAGAAAAGTCGTGCAATGGGCAAAACTCACTTAATACATTTCTCACTTAGCAACATGAATCCTGGGCTCAATTGTGGTTGTAGGTTTGGACAGCTAGAGTTCTGAAAAATCGAGCTACAGGTAGTCCTCGACTTACAACCACAATGGACCCCAAAATTTCTGTTGTTAAGTGAGTTTTACCCCATTTTTCTTGTCGCTGTTGTGAATCACTGCAGTTGATAAGTTAGTAACTTGGTCGTTAAGTGAACCTGGCTTCTCTGTTGACTATGCTCGTCAGAAGGTTGCCAGAGGTGATCACCTGACCCCGGGAACGCTGCAACCGTCATAAATATGAGTCAGTTGGCATTAATGAGAGATTTCCGAGCAGCAATTCTCTCAAGTTTTGTTTTAACAAAAATTAGGCTTGAAAAACAGAGAGAAGTTAAGAAAGGCGAAGGGATCTGCAGCCAAGCCTCATTTTGCTCTGCCTTGTCTCATTTTTGCTGAAACAATGTGATGAGGAAGCACGAGAATATGCCAGGTTCATTCGCAGCGTTTCTGCCATCGGAGTTAAGTCGGCGATTGCAGGCAGCCCTTGGCGTAGACGACAACTGAGCCCAAAATTTCTGTGGCCGAGAAAATTTCTGTGGCTGAGAGTTGTTAGGAGAGTTTTGACCCGTTTTACGACCTTCCTTGCCACCGTTGTTAAGTGAATCACCGAAGTTGTTGAATCAGTAACCCAGGTGTTAAGGCGAGTCTGTCTTCTTCCCCGTTGACATTGCTTGTCGGAAGGGAATCACGTGTCCTGAGGACATTGCAACCGTCGCAAGTACGAGTCAGTGGCCAAGTGTTTGAATTTGGACCATGTGACCATGGGGACACTGCAACGGTCGTAAGTGTGAAAAGTGGCCAGTCACTTTTTTCAGTCCCATTGTAACTTTGAATGAATTAATGTAAGTCAAGATGTATGTTCTCCAGCTTTATCTTCCCTGTGTTCAACTCCCAATGTTGTCATAGTAAGAGGAGAGGGGGAGAGTGCATTCCACGCATACTGTTGGCTGAAGTCGGATCTCAGATTGCTGCAGAAGGCTTGGGAGGGGGTGCAACTCAATGGGGAATGTGATTTATGACACAGACTGAGGGGAAGGAAGGAACAGGGGTAAAGTTCAGCCATAAATCAAACAAAGCTCAAACCTGACTACGAAAAGACCTTGCCTATGATGCTCCTAATAACTGACTAGTTTTGTATTGAAACTTGGCTCGAGACTCATGAATCAATTAGGGCATTTTTAGGAAACCTTACAGACAGCCAGGTCTAAGCTTTGTTTGATTTATGGCTGAACTTCACCCCTGTTCCTTCCTTCCCCTCAGTCTGTGTCGTTAATCACATTCCTCTATGAGGTGCACACCTCCCAAGCCTTCTGCAGTAATCTGAGATCCGACTTCAACTGACAGTATGCGTGGAAAGCACTCTCCCCCCTTCTCTCTCTATGACAATGTTGGGAGTGGACACCCTGATTTAAAATGGCGTACCTCAGTCTCTGTCCTGTCATTTTATGTATTTCCCAAATTAAAATAGCAGTTTCTTCCTCCATCTTTGCCGTTCCTCTTATTGCCTCACCCATTTTTTTTTCTTTTTTTCTGTTAATACAGGACCTAAAAACTCTGCTTTTCGGCTCCAGTCTTGGATGCTTCAACGAAGAATGGAAAATCCAGAGTTTCACGTTCAGTGAAAACCCGGAGCTGAAATATGGGATCGTGCAGAAAAAGGTAACCAGCTCCTATCAGTTCCTTCCCGAATTTGCCGAGCGGAGCTGATAAAAGTCACCTGCAAGAGAGTTTCCATTGTACAAAGGCAAGTGGACTTTCTTGTTTTTTTTTTCTTTGAAGACGTTTCGCTTCTCATCCAAGAAGCTTCCTCAGTTCTGACTGGATAATGGGGGACGGAAGGATTTATACTCCTTGCAATCATCTTGGTCATTTGCATCCTTTTAGAGAGTCATTGAGGCCACCTGGAGGTTTATCTGCGTCCTCAGATCCACATGGTGGAGGACGGAAGGATTTATACTCCTTGCAATCATCTGGTCATTAGTAGTCTCTCTGAGCGTGACCCGTCAAAAGGGCGTTCCACAAAAGCGCGGTCGACGAAATCGCGTATGTGACATCATCACAACGCGACGAAAAAGATCGATTCACATAAAGGTAAGGGTTAGGTTAAGGGTTAGGGTTAGGGTTAGGTTAAGGGTTAGGGTTAGGGTTAGGTTTAGGGTTAGGTTTAGGGTTAGGTTAAGGGTTAGGTTTAGGGTTAGGTTTAGGGTTAGGTTTGGGGGGGTTAGGGGAAGGTTTTAGCTTTATTTTTACATTTTTCGATCTTTTCCGATCTTTTCCGTCGCGCTGTGATGACATCACATACGCGCTTTCGTCGACCGCGATTTTGTCGTCCGCGGTTTTGTGGTAGAACCCTCTCTGAGAGTAGTTGAGGCCACTGTCAACTTCCACCATTCCCTCAGAACTGAAGAAGCTTCTTGGTTGCGAAGCAAAACGTCTTCAAGGAAAAACAAAGAAATTGCAATTGCCTCTTGAAAAAACACCTTTGTGGCAAATACAACCTGGATGACTGAGAATCCAACCATAGACGCTTTCCATTGCACAGGTGGTCCTTGACTTACAACCTTTACTTTAAGTGACCATTTAAAGTTAAAATGGCACTGGAAAAAGTGACTTATGTCTGCTCCACACACTTAATGAACATTGCGGCGCCCCCCCGTGGTCACGTGGTCCAAATTCAGAAACCTGGCAACTGGCTCATATCTATGACGGTTGCAGCATCCCGGGGTCACGTGTGTAAGCAAAGCGCATGCGTGGGAGGCCAGGCGCATGCGTGGCGAACCGGAGGTAACAAAATGTGAAACCCGCCATTGCACGCAATCCCCTTTTTTAACGATCTTCTGGGGAAGCCAGATTCACTTAACGACCCTGTGACTGATTCCAGTGATTCACTTAACAACTCCAGCAAGAAAGGTCATAAAGTGGGTCAAAACTCATTTAACAACTGTCCCGCCTAACAAATGTTGGGCTCCATTGTAAGTCGAGGATGTATACCTGCACATCCATTTTTTTTTCATCCAAAAGCATTTTTAATGGACCAATAAATGCCCTGCTAGGAGGGGTGGGAGATTGGGCGGAGGAACCCTTCCAACCCCCTCCCCTTCTCTCCCCCCCCAACCCTCCAAACCCTAACAGAGTTTTATTGTACAACCTGACCCCTTTTTAACAGGATTTTAAGACCATCAACCAAACGTGGAGAGAATTTGATGATGAAGATGTTAAGTGCTATTGTAATTGTATTGATATATAGTTATATTATTAATAGTGTTGGGGTAAATATTATAACAAATAGGTGGAACCATATTTCCCACTGTTTGTTGGAAATGAAAAGTAATATAAATAACCGTATTTTTCGGACTATAAAACGCACCAGTGTATAAGACGTACCAAGATTTCAAAGAGATAAGTAAGAAAAAATTTTCCACCCCCTCCCCCCGAGCACTCTGCAGGCTTCAACAATGCTTCGGTTTTTACGAAAAAAGAGTAGAAAATGGGCCATTTTTTCCATAAACGGGGGCATTTTTGCCTTCCCCCAGCCCTGCTGAGGCCTGCAGAGTGCTTTAGAGGCTGGGAGAAAGCAAAAACGCCTCAGTTTTTGCAAAAAAAATGGCCTCTTTTTCACCCATATTTCACAAAAACGTCATTTTTCCCTTCCTCAGCCCTCCTGAAGGCTGCAGAATGCTCCTGGGGACTTGAGGCAGGCAAAAATGCTTCCGTTTTTATGAAAAACGAGTAGAAAATGGACATTTTTTCCATAAACAAGGGCATTTTTGCCTTCTCCCAGCCCTTCTGAGACCTGCAGAGTGCTTCTGGAGGCTGGGGAAAAAGCAAAAATGCCTCAG